ATGCACATCTGCTACATCAGTGTTGCAAACATGCAAGCAAAATGATTTTCTAAACAGTGGGAATCAATCTAATGAGTAGTATATTAAGAGATATTTATAACTATCCATAGTTAATGTTCAAGATTAAATATATTTCTTGCAACTTTTTAGGAACATTCTGGAAAGTGACACCATTTTCTTCTAGAGGTTACAAACCAAGCAGTATAATACACACGTGATTTCCTTGATAATGTAACTTTGATTGAAGAAAGTAAAGTTGAACTCTTCTTTTGCTTCACTATTTTCAACTCTTAACACAGAATGCCCAACTATTTTTACTGAATTATTAACTTGTATGACAAATATATAACTATGTATTCAGTAAAACTTGAGCTGCATCAGCATTATCCTTGTCCTTTTGTTTTAACTTTTATGCCTATTTATTACAAAATGTCTTCTAAATTATCTTTTTTAATAATGTGCTTTGCATAGTAAAACATATGTGTTACAAGCAGAAATGTTTATGAACAGCCTAAGGAAAACAGCAAAGACCATGCCATTAAACCATTATCTAAAAATAACTGGAAAAGGCTAATTTAGATAAGATATTCAATATTGCTAACTGATTATTGTATGAGTAGAAAAATTACTGAGGCATTGTGGGCCTGTATCACTGTAGGTGAACAAAAAGTGTCAAAAAACACTTTTGTCTAATTAAGTTAGCTGATTAAACTACTGTTCATTCTGGCTTTGAATCAAATTTTCTTGGCTTAAATTCCAATTGGCCATTTAAAGAATATGAAAAAAAATAAACTTTTGCAGAAAAAAAGACCAAAGTACAAAACTCAAATGATAATCTCATTAAAGTAAACATTCAGCAGAAGCTTTTGATGAGCTTGCCTAGTGAAAGACTAGCTCATCTGTAAACACACATGCTTATTTGCAAGCTCAAACTGTTGATCCAAAACAGTTGCATGGAATTTCCAAGTGCATATTTATAATGGATTTTGCTAACAATACTTGGCTGAGCTATTTTTAGGAGGTGATAAAATGTAAGTTTGGTAGAACAACATTTAGGAGACACTTGAACACGGATATTTTCAAGAGCACAGGTATTTGCTAGAAACAAAACAGTGTACGAGTTCAGAAGAAAGCACACAAGGAAATTCACTGTCACTTTCCTTTATAACATTCTCCTGAGAAATTATCAATTGCTTTTTGAACTCAGGTTATCTTAGATCAATAATTATCTATCAATAATTAGATTGCTATCTAGGAAAAATATATAGGGAAACAGCATCCTATCTTCACATACCTTACTTTTAATTACAGATATTTATTTCAGAAAAACAAGACACACTAAAAGAAGATAAAATAAGAATTAATCTCCCAGTGGGCACTACCTTGACATGGTTATGCACTTGTATGTTCTAAGGAAGATGAGAATTATGCCAGAAGTTCAACCATATTGGACAGGTCTCACCAGAGGAATCAGACAAAGAGTGTCTCTCCCATAGAAATATAGTCAGATCTAAATTACAGAAACCCAATCTGATTCAGTCAATAAGGACTGCAGGTGCTTGAGTGTCTGGACATGTAATGAAAAATGGGCCACAAAATACAAATATAAAGTCACACGGGTGGTTTTTTTTTTTTTTATGAAGATATTTGCTATTGATGGGGGCAGATGGTAATTGAAGATACCGAACATACTGTTGGAATTAGGATGTGATGTTACCCTAACATGGGTGATGGAGTTAACAATCCAGCTGAAAGACATTACAGAAGATATCATATGGATTACAAGCTTAAAGTCATTTTAAGAGGATTTTATTTACATAAGGGAATACTTTTTAGTGGTGTGGGCAGAAGAATAAAGATATTAAGAATTAAGTATGGTAGTCCTGTAGGAAAGTGGGTGGAGACAGGTTAGCTTATTGATTGTTTAGTTTAAGAAAAGGGATATTATGTTTAGATATGAATATATGTAAAAGATTTGAGTTAAGAGATATATCTATGGGGTGGAGGAAATGGGTAGACTATGAGTTGAATAAATGTTAAATTAGGATTTATTATATAGTTTTATAGTGGAAGGTTGCTTTGAAATGTTATATTAATATACATAAAAGATTTGATTTAAGAGATATATGTATGGGGGGGAGAAAAAGGGTAGATTATGAGTAGAAATTGCTAAACTGGGAGATATAATAATATTATTATGCTAAATTAGGAGTTATTATATAATGTTATAGCAGAATGTTATTTTGAAATGTATAGTATAAGGGGGATATAATAATATTATTAGAAAGAAAGGGTCAGCATATGGGGGATGGAGCAAGGGGATGGTAAAGTATTATATAATCTGTTATGAATTTGGGTTTTATTTTGAAGAAGCCACAGGGGGAGGGGAGGGGGAGTTAGGGAGGAGGGGGGGAAAGGGGGGGATTTGTATTTGAAAAACTTTTTCAATAAAAAAAAAAGGGCCACAAAACTCAGAACTGATGGCTGAGCAATCAGGGCCAGCAGCTGCAGAACTACTGGAAAGAAGGATGATTTACCGATGACAAATATACAGAGATTGTAAACAAAAAATAATAATGATCTGTTATTACAGATCAAATCCAACAAGAAGAGGATATTTGAAATGAATGCATCAGTTCTGGAAAGAACAACATCCAGAATCAGAAATAACAGAACAGAGGCTAGCAGATTAACATTGATTTATAGTGCAAAATAAGTATTCACAGAAGGGGAACTGGAAGAAGATCAAAGGTCTACCCAGGACAAAAAAATCAAAGACTTGCCAGAAGTAACTCAGTCTGTAGAGGCAGATTATAGGGGGAGCTAGCAGAAGAGAAAGTCAATACCGCTATAGAATTTTGTTTCACTAGCTATCCCAGGTCTGCCAATCCCTCATTTGCCCATCCCATGGCCTTGGGAAGGACTCAACACATGAATAAAATGCCAGTCTGAACATCTGGCTGACGATGCAATGAACCATAAGAATATAAGAAGAATATAGGAATATGAATAAAAGCAAGGAATTGGGAGAAAATTACAAAAGAAAATTTAAGATGAAAGATTATGACATAAACCGGCCATGGTAGACCAACTGATTATTGACCCACTGGGTACCATCTCAAAAACAAAGGTCTACACTTAGGTAGCACTTGGGTAGCACTTAGAAAATCTGAGCATTGACAAAATTTCCATCTGTCAATTACATTGCTTGGATCCATATATATACTAGGCTGATACATTGCAAAATCCTAGATTCTTGGGAAGGACTCATATGAAGGCCGATATAAACTAAAGAACATAGCAGCTATGATTATTGTATTATATAATAATTATTGTATATATAATATATATATTGTATATATATTATATATAATATATATATAATTATTGTATATATAATAATTCATAAACATGTACAATATTCCAGAACATGTATCCAATTATTCTGCTTGAGTCTTAAAGATCAAATAAAATTCCAAGTTTCTTGTCTAAAATTTTTTATTTTCTTCTCTTGATGCTGACTTTAATGGGAATATTAGAAAAATTCAAAGTGATAAAACATCATGAAAATACAATATATGCCATACAATAAATTTGGCACCATCTTCTGCACTTTCTACTGAAATGCTGCCGATTTCAAAGATTTAGAGCCCTTCTATACCTGTGGACATTGAAAGTTAAGCAATTGCCGAGTATTTCAAAACTGATGAGGTCATTGCAAAGACCTCAAAAACTATTCTCTTTCTGTGCTAGGAATTCTGCCTGAAACAATTAAGAAAAGCTGATGGTACATAAAATTCTCAGACTTTACTACACTATTTTTCCCAATTTAATGCCTCAAACTGTCTGAGACATACAATAGATTTGGCTGAAACATGCCAAACAATGATAGCAGCACTTCACACATAAAACATCTTCCAAGAATGAAAATAGCAAGGTTTTTATTCTTCATCATCTTTTATGCATCTGGTGAATAAGCTATGAAAGGACAGAGCTTTTTTTTTCTTTTAACAAGCTTCCAATAAAAATAGGAAACAGGAAGAGTTTTAGCCCCAAAATTATAATTTTGAATATGCAAGGCAAGAAAAGAGGACACTCAAAAATAAGTACTGAAACTATAGCAATAGAGAATTACTGTTTTCAATCACATGGTACATGTCCTAAAGTAGAAAGACTTGTTATTCGTCTTGAACACATAATTATTTCTTTTGTTAACTGTTTTTTGGCAAATCAAATGTTATGATTTCTCCTGGCAACCGCTTTCATTTTCTAAGGATATAGACGGTTTCTACATCAGTATGGATAACATCCTATAAGGCATATACTTAATTTTTTTTGCTTTATAGAAATATGATATTATTAAATAATAATTAGCAATGTAATCCAAATAGAATTGTGAGGGCTGCAAAGCAACAGCTAATCAGCCACTTCCAAGCTAATGTAAGCCAGAAGAGAAAATATTGGGAAGCAGTTGTGAAAAATTCCATGCAACAACTTGGGATGCAGAATTTACTAAGGTGAGAGCTGCTTTACCAAGAGCCCTGCTCTGAAGAATAGTGGATAGAGCCAAGACAAATACTATATCTGATTTGATTTGTATTTATAGTTTAATACAACTTTTGGAATCTCTGGTACCATACTGTGTTCAGGGATCTGAATTGGATGCCAGAATATCTCTAAAAAGCTGCAGAGCATTAATCAAATGCTGGCTTTGAAGCTAGAGCAAAGCTCTTCTAATGATCCACAGAGGAGATATGCAGCTTTCAGCTCATCATGCAATCCAGGCAGTTGCATGCTTCATGAATGTGTCTCTTACAAACTACCAATTTTTTCCATCTACCTACCCTTTACACTGCCTTTCGCTGGTTTCTCCCAAACCATGCACTGCTTCTTCTCTGGCAATTGATCCTTGCAGTTCTTTGTTTTGTCTCAATCAGCTTTAGATGAACAAGTCAACACTAGGATATTCATATCCCTCCACATTCCTTCTTTTTTCTTACCTCAGATGCTCTTGTAATACATTTGCCTTTCCCAGAACACTGAAAGCCATCAGACTGGATTCCTCCAGGCAAACACATGCTGACTTTTACTATGACTGTCAAGCGTAATGCCACGATGCATTTGGAAACAGAATCATTCACAAAACCTGGAAGAAAGAGGCCATATATATTACTCTTAAAAATAGAATACAATGCCTTAAAATGGAATTTAAGATAGCCAGATACAATGGCAGAGATGGGGAATGAGTTAGGGCTGCAGTTAATACTTCTCCTCACCTAAATTCCATTAAACTGCTACTGAGTGGCCATAGACAGAGGATATATGAAAATCAGCCATATTATACTGTACAGATTGTTGTTTTTTTGTTTTTGCTTATATTGTCTCTGTAGTTCACAACAGCTTTAGGAAAGAAAATGACAGAAATTGGACAAGAGGGTCAATCCAGAGTTGGAATCCATATGTGTGTTTGTGTGTGTGTGTGTACCTGTGCTAATTTCACTAGAAGCACAGATGAAATGTAGTTAAAATGCACTTACAATTAATCCAATGACCCATATCAAAGAAAAAATAAATCCCTTATCAGAAGTTGAAAATGAGATAAGATAATACTGCTTCTTTATATATTTTCATCTATCTATGAAAACTATGGATAAACCACATTAATTATACAGTTTGGGAAAGGTGGGCCTCTGGCTTTATGTGATTCAAAGATTGGTTTCTCACTTCCTCTGTGTGCCTCAGCAGGAATCAGCACTAAGCAGACTTTATATAGGCTCAGAAGCTACGCAAGTTCAGGTTTGGTAAATTACGGAATAGGGTACTACAAGAATAGAAGAAATGCAGGCTAGAGTGAAAAATTGGAAAAAATCCTGGGATAAGGAAGTAGTAAAGCACCCAGTATAGAAATAACAGATACATCTACAGAGTTACCAAGAACTTAACTGGACTCAAAGGAGTCTCTACTTTTACATAGTCTATAGTCAGATGCTTTTGAAAAATGAACTGAGATTCAAAGCAGCTAGATATAGGCCAGAGATATATAATTCATTTGCACATCATTAGAGTTATAAAATATACAGTCATGTACAAAGGCCCTTATAATTTAAAGTAGTTCTAGCATCCATATCTATATCCACTTTGATCAGATATCAAGGTCACAGCATTAGAACAGCTACAAATGACTAAATTAATTTTGATGCTCTCTCTCTCTTAACCTCTTATACCAGCAAGTAAATGTTTAGAGAAATTCATTATTAGTAAATTGAGTTGATGAATGTATAATTACCATACAGGAGAATACTCAGAAATGAAATGAAAACACCATCATTCTTATGCAAAATTTATTTTAAGAGTGATCATGAAGTAGAACACTTTGAAGAAGTAAGTAAAGGCGGCCTTGCATTTGTGGTCATTACTACCTGGAGTAATTAGCAAGATAGCCCCTTTCTAGTAACAAAATTACTTAAGACCATTATTATCTAATAATATTTACTAAAAAAATACTTTTGAACTCCATGACAAGAAGTAAATAGTGTAAGTTGTATTTTAAGAATGAGTACTGTTAATGACTCTCTAACACACTGAAATATCTCTATCACACTGAAATAATGGTGGATTTTTGGATCCATCAATATTTATAAATTATATATGCAAAAACACTTTCTATCATTTACTTATGATGAAATGGAAGAGGTTTTAAAATGTATAATTGCATTGCATTAATATTTAAGGTGGAGAATATATCTTGAATAAGAAGTAAAATAAATATCAAATTATCTTTCATAATAAAGAGAATAAATTAAATACTATTATTCCAAAACTGGCAGGTCCCAATGAGAATGATCTTTTCTTTATTGGTTTCCTGAGGCTAATTGTTATAAATTGTTCCTAAAAATTATGCTACAACAATAAATAGCAACCTCAATAGTTTATTACTTCTGGCTAGTAATGATCTAAAGTGGATCTAAATGATCTAAAGCAGATGGACTAACTTTCCAATTTATATTTTAACTCTAAATTAAGAGAAGAAGATGCTGTATACTGAAATATCTGCCATTTTAACACTATATTTGAAATTACTAAGAATTCAGTACATCAATTATTGCACCAACATAACTCTAAAAACAGACAAACATATTATGATGCTATGCTAAGAAAAGCAAAAATTCTGCTAATAAGAACAATATTTACCTACCTGCCTCAATTATTTAATGCATATAAACAAAACAAAATTAAACAAATGCCTTTTTCTGTTCCTCACATCTTTTTTTAAAATATTTTTTTATTTTTTAAATATACATGAATATCAATACATGAATAGTGAGGCATCTGGGTATCGTTTCTTTGAATACAAGTAGTAGTGATAATATTAATATTACTTGTTATTTAAGTCATACTTATATAATTGTAATGTTATTATACATATTTATGTTAAAATATAGGCCTTCATTATTTAATTGTTCAACATTTTAATCCCCATTCTAATAACAATGGCACTATCTTTTTTTTTTAATTTGATTTATAAGCCGCCCTTGTCCGGAGACTCAGGGCGGCTTACAATGAGTTAAGCAATAGCCTTCATACTTTTGTATATTTTATACAAGTCAGCTTATTGCCCCTACAATCTGGGTCCTCATTTTACCTACCTTAGAAACGATGGAAGGCTGAGTCAACCTTGAGCCTGGTGAGATTTGAACTTGCAGTAATTGCAGGCAGCTGGTGTTAATAACACTGTTAATAACAGTGCTTTAGCCTACTCCACCAGGACTCTTCTCATTAAGTCATCATCTTTCAACATCTAAACTTTATATCTAGCTATTACTTTTAATATATTATATAAAAATATGCATAATATTATTCCTCCTATTTGTTGTGTCTGCCTCTATTCTAGCTCCTAATAATGCCAATCTTGTGTTACAAAACATTTCCTCTATCCATTATCTCTTGCCCATTTTAATGTTTCAATACTTATTTGTTTTTTGACTTGCCTCCCAAATTCCTCCCTTAGGTCTTCTTCTCGATCTACATCTTTCCTGTTTAACTTAAGTATCTCTACTATCTTTTGCTGCCAAGTCTCCAGAGGATCTGCCCAACTCTCCATTTTCTTTTCAAAACTATCTTTCTGTTTATCCAAAATAATTTTTTGATCTTTTAGCATGTATTTTCCCTGAATTGCTTCACTAATTTTTATTACGTTCTCCTTCTTATCTTCTTGTTTTGTTTGTTGAATTGTCCATTCTATCTTTTCCCCTGGTCTCTCTATTATCTCCTCTATTTCCTGGGCTTTTTTATCATTATTCATTATCCCTTGTGAAGCACTTTCTAGCTACCCATTTATATTATTCATTAAATCCATTATCTCCCTGTGATTCTTTGTCATAGAATCATAAATGCTTTGGAACATCACCACCAATTCTTTTTGCAACCCGCTTATTTCCCCCTGCTAAAACATCTTGCCTTCTTTTTTTTGATAAATTCAAATATCGCTCAGTAGTCTTTCAATGTTCTATCACTGCCACAAAGTCTCAATTATCTTTGCCCTCAGTCGAACTGGAAACCATTTAGTCAGTCCTTTTATTGCTCCTCCAGGAATACAGTAATATAGTTCTTTATATCCCACAAATAGTCAATTTAGCTCTCTTTAGGTAATCCAGGAAAATTTCCAAATGTCTTCTTAAATCCCCTCTATAAATTCAATCCTAACTTCTGATATTTGAAAGTCACTTTACTTAGATGTCTTCCATATTTTCACCATTTGAGCTCCAGTAGTCACATAGTCCAGTAGTCAATAGTTTCCACTTTCTCTTCTGTCTTATCAGTATTTTCCCAGGGTTAAAGGAATATAATGAATTCCATTCACCAGCAGATGGTGCTTTCCATTTAACTTCAACGTTGCATAAATTCTAGAAGTTCCATTGTGTTTATTCAAACAAATAATCAAAATTCTAACAAGTAGTTCCAGCATTTTAAAATGCCTCATTGCCAATAAAAGCTAGTGATCCAATCTTTCTATATTTTTAAAGGTTTTGCGCTCTCTTCTTAATATCCTTTTCTTTTCTTTTGGGTCTGTAATTTTTCTCTCTGTAATTGTTCACTGCTTAAACAAACTTTTCAAAGAGTCCCTTTTCCAGTCCCTTTATTTTCTTTAGGGTTGGTTTTAGAATAAAAAAGTCACCTCACCCAGTTCCAGTCACTATTCACATACCACTTCAGCACATTCTTTGTTTCTTCGGCTGCCCCAGCTTTATGGCAGCCATAATGGCTGCCACTCTTCTTCATTGTCGGCTGAGAGGGATTTAGCCTGAGTCAAGCAGGAGAGCTGCCACTCTCCGCAACCTGCAGGGTACTCCTCCGCTCTTTGTCACCCCTACAGGGTGACTTTAGCCCCTTATGGGGCCCTCCGATGAATGTTTCGGCCTCTGAAGTTCATGGAGCCCTGCTCTTTGTGTCCAGTAGTGCCATGACATCAACCGGATTACATAAACTGATTTCTTTTTCTCATGAAGCAATAGATTGAGCTGAAGAAACATAATATAGCTTCCTGAACTTTAATCCTAATGTCATTTCCATCAAAGCAATAATATTTTTATAGTAAAGGAGCTAGTGAAAATCTCACATTCCTGGATCTAGCAAAATGAAAAGTGTTGTTTTTTTAATTAGTTGTATCATCTCTTTGAACTGTTCATTGAAGCCTCCTAAAAGTCAATGCAATACCCACAGAATCAAGGTCATATGTCACCTGCCAGCATTTCACATTTTCCTGGGTAATCTTTTAAGGAAGCCTTACATATATACATATTCCATTACAAAAAAAACAAATCATATCTCATAGTACTCCTACTCATAGTGCATTACTGTAATACAAAAGAGAAATTCCTATTCCTATTATGACTTACTATAACAACTCTGATTTAATGTCAAATATGCATATGATTTGTTCAATACATTAGAAAAATACTTTATGAATATAAAAATCAACATTAGCAAAACTCACCAATGAAATAGTTGTTTCCCAATTCCAGCATCTCCTCTGCTAGGACAAGTCCACCCATTGCTTGGAGAAGAGTAATGCTTGTGGCATCTATAAGTGAGCATTGTTTAAACCTTTCTGTGGTCACCTTCCATAACAGGATAAGGGAAGCAGTGGCATCTTGCCTTATTCTAAAGACAAAAATAAAAGTATTAAGCAGATCATAATTAAAACAAGTGTTTTAAACATTTTCTATAAGAATGTAACATCACTCATGACATTAAAAACATGTCTCTATAACTTGATCTTCTTTGTGATCCTCACTAATTCTTCTATTATACTATTCCTGGTGTTGTCATATCAATTATCCACAATCTCTTATTGTCAACCACAGTTAAATCTGATGAGTTATGTCCCAAGCCTTTATCAGTTTCCATTAGGATATCCCACAATATTTTAATCTGCTCATTTTTACTCCTCTTTCAAACTTATGTTCCCATTAATTTTTCATTATTGGCACATGATAATTTTTTTAAATGTTTCAATGAGTCATCATGGTGACTATGTTGTGTCATTGTTTATAAACAGTTTGTTTGACCTTCTTGTACGAGCTGAGTATATGATTGTTTCTTTTGCTTCTTTGAATAATCTGTATTTTGAATTTTTTGATTTTTCAACTCTGGTCTTGATTGCATTTGTTCAAACAACTTGCTCTTGAGCACCAAAATCAAGCTTCAGTTGTTGTTTTTTAATGTTCTAGTTGTAATGAATTGCCAGGTTTTATTTTTATCTACTTTCCCCTCATTTTTTGTAGAAATTTATCATTAATGCTTTTCCTTGCCAGCATTTGGTTTATATTTCTATTACATTATTTCAATATTCATGTTTTATTTCCTGTACACTTAATAAGTTCCAATTTTTAACTTGCATCAATTCTTGTTCTTAGATGTATTTTACATAATCAGCCATCACATGCTTTTCTTCTTCGACAGTTTGACTTGAAATAAATCTCTGCCTTCATTTTCAAAGGGTAGATATAATCTATAACTCTATCACTACAGGGATGTAATTCATAGTGAATAGTCAGCAAATTTCTGACATTTTGGTCCAATTGATTTTTAGTCCAATTGTCATGGCTGGTCACACAGTCAGACAGATGTTAAAACTAGATTTGGCATTTTTTCCTGCCTATCGTGCCCTTCCCAAGGACATGAAATAGGCAGATGTTGTTTGATGGCATCAAAGATACCATCATAGGATGTAAGATGTACCAAATCAATCTTTTGCAATTGTCTGGTAGTGATTTTCTCAATGCCAATGGAGCTCACATGGTGCTCATGTTGTTTTGGGATTGCACCCAAGGCAATATTGGTGTTATCTTTGCTTTCTTTTGCCACAGTTGTTCTATTTCTACTTGCAGGTCTTGGTATTTTGTGATTTTTCTCTAGTTTTTTTCTCTTCTATTCTGCTGTCTTCAGGTACTGCAACATCCACTATCCAGATTTTTTTTTTTTTTTGGTCTTTCTTATCAACAATGTTTAAGTCTGGGGTTTTATGTGGAAAGTGCTTGTCTTTTGAATTCTAAAATCCCAGAGCACTTTAGCTTTTTCATTTTCTAATACTTTGTCTATTTTGTGGTCCCACCAGTTTTTGCTTGCAGGAAAATGGTATTTCTTGCAGATTTTTAGTGCACCATTGTTACTACTTTGTCATGCCACTGTTTCTTCAGCTTCTTTGCAGAAGCACCACTTGCTGTCTGCTGCTGTCTTCTCAATTGTTGCTTTGTTCTTAAGGCTTGGTCTTGTACATCCAGAATTAGCCCTATTGTCTCTTTCTTCAACTTTTTTGCTCTTAGCCTTTGCCAAATCTTGTTATCTCCTTTGTCTGCTTTTTTTTAAATGTAGTACTTTGCCTTGTTATAGTAGCTTTATATATATAAATATATAAATATTCCTCTACAGTAGGTATCCTCAATTTCTATACATGTTGGAACAGCTGCCATTGCCCATAGTGGCTAGGAATTCTGGCGACTGCCACAGGCACTAGGATGGGGAAGGCCAAAGAATATGAGAATGATAGAAGAAACAATCAAAATTTGGCTGAGAAACAGAGAGCCATCTTGAATATTTTTAAAGTATAAATAGACCAAGAAGAGATTGGCCTCAGGAACTTGAGAGAAAGATGAAGGAAAAGCCAGGGTAAAAAACATGAGTGAAGAGGCAACTGGAAGCTGCGTAAATATAAATTCTGAGAGGGGAGGGTGAGAAGTCATGTCAAGCTTAGAAAAAGATATATCTCTCATCAATAAGTAACTTTGAAGACATTAACCCCAAGGGGAAAAGATTATAAATCTTATAAATGTCTGCATACACATCCAATCCATTAACTGCTATCTCAGCAGCTAAAATTTAATAGTCCCGCATTTCTAGAGCAGTAACCTTGGAGGGCAACTCCAGTCAATCAGTCACAGTAGATTAAAATTGCAGCTCTAATTAATCACATTATTTTGGCTCAAGTACAACTATTAAATATTTAGCATTTTTATATTTCTAAAAAAGCAATTATGGCTTGGCTTTGTTTCTCTATGTTGTAAATATTAATTTTGCCAAGGTCAAAGTCATATTTCTACTAATGACACTGGGTTTGGGTTTCATGTCACTTCCCAAATAATTATTGGGAAGAATTGGCTTTTTTAGTAAAATGAAATTTTGTAAATGAAGAATAATTCTTTCTAATGAATATTTTCCCCTTATTCTTTCACTGCATCTTCAGTTAAATAGCCAAATATTTTTAAACACACTATTCCAAATGTGAGACTACTACACGCAAGAGTTGGGAGCTCAAAACAAGAATTTAATCTTCTTAAATATATTATGTCCATTTTATGTTAGTTACCAACTTTCATGTGGAATTCAACATTATGTCCCACTCCCACCATGATTTCTAACATAAGTTGCCTCTTCCAAAGTTACCTCTTTGGGATAATAAGCATACAAAAGGATAAATCTTCCTTCCAGATAAATATTTCTTTTTGATGACAAATAATAAATGTATCCTCTTCTGTAAAGTATCATGGAACTTGACCCCTACTACTTTTGCTTGAAAATTCCAAGATCCCTAACAATAAATATCTGCAAGTGAGGAAAAATTCTATAATTAATCTATTGTAATATTTCTCTTTGGGTTGGATTTAAACTATCATACTTTCCAACTAATTAAGAAGCATTGATATCTAAAAGGCTAGTCCACTCCTACCAAAGCATGTGCTGCCCATTGTCTTTTCCCTTCAAGATTGTGGAAAAAGGCAAAGCAAAAAAGTTGTACATGCACTTGAAGTCTAAGACTGCAGAGTCAACACTGAAAGCAGTCATGTGATCTTGGAGAAAAAGCAAAACTGCTTTAATGATCGGAGGGGGGGATCATATGGACCCTTGCATGCACCAAAGCATCTCTTTCAATCATTATCCTATCTCCATGCATGAGAAACAGTGACAAAAATAAGCTTTTTGTGTATTCCAATGAAACAATAAAAATTTGAACATTTGGACAACTGGAAAACTGACAAGCCATTTTTAGGAAAAAAAAGAAATTGGTGAATCAATTGTGACATAAGATACTGTAAGGTTTTTACACTATGTTCCTGCCATTCTTTTCCATTTATACACAAATGATGGATTAAACAACCAACATTATTTAAAACTTTTTTGTAATAATGCAAAACAGAAGTTCCTTACTTTATTGAAGTATTTTGTGGAACTTCAAAAGATATTAGGCGACCCCCACCAGAATTATTGGAGCTGGCATTTCCACAGGCTACATCAGGGATTATCTATAAAGAGTGTGAATAAATATGAGACATCCTATATAACTAACAGTTTTAAATAGAACCCGAAAACTGGTTTTAAAATGTAATAGAACTGAAATGTATTTGATGGATATATGTTGGAAAAATTATTTTCTGAAGCTTTATAGAACAACAGATGCACAAACAAAAAGGCTCAGCTTGAAAAGACATTGATTTGGGTCTGGTTTTCTTAAGAAAAACACAAAGGGCTTTTCATATTGTAGCAACCTAGATTCCTAATAGATTGCAACACAATACTTTAAAAAAGCAGGTAATGAAAATTCATTGGCTTTCAGGAACACACAGCAAGATAGCTGATAGCATCTCTCAGCATCTTACTGTTGTGTAGTGTGGAATACAAACAAATCAAAGGTAGCAATGCTTTGCCACCTGATGCCAGCAAAATGAAGACCAATTATTAATTTTTTCCTATGAGAAAAGACTTTTCACAATATAAATTAGAGCCATTACTACTTGCCAAGGAGAAAAAACAATACTATAAGGTATTTGTTTATTTTTGTGGGTAAAATGTTTCATTTTCATGCAGCGCTTCTTTAAAAAGCATTAACAAAGTATGCTATTAATATGTCTTGTATATTGATTGCAAATTCAGCAGCAGCTCAGTGAAATGTATAAGCTACTACCTAAATTGTCCTTGGGAGTATTTCCTGCCTATTTTACAAATGCTCTTAACATTTTTTTATTTTTTTATTTTCTTTTGGATTCCCAGATTTTAGGCTGTTCAGCCCAATTTTCTTGTTACAGAAAATTAAAACATTAACATTGTCCTAGAAGCCTTATTACATACAAATGAATAATACAAAGCAAATTCTTAGAAATGGGAGGAGATATTTTAAATACTAACTTACGCTTTCTTAATATAAAATATAATTTTCTTTTCTCTCCGTGAGAAATAAAATAGCATCAGTTAATTATTATTTTATTATTATTATTTTTATTATTCCGATTTATATACCGCCCTTCTCCCGAAGGACTCAGGGCAGTGTACAGCCAAAAGTAAAAGCACACAAATATAAAATTTAAAAACTATTTAAAAGCATATTAAATAATTTGGCCCAGCTATTCAAATAAAACACCCGTATTAGAATTTTAAAAAATTAAAAAAGTTTTAAAAATTAGGCCAGCCCAGCTTGTTGAAATAAAAATGTTTTGAGGGCACGGTGAAAGGTGCGCAAGTCGGGAATCCTCCGTATCCCGGGCGGCAGTTCGTTTCAGAGGGCAGGTACCCCCACAGAGAAGGCTTTCCCCCTGGGGGTCGCCAGTCGACATTGTTTGACCGACGGCACCCTGAGGAACCCCTCTCTGTGGGAGCGTACTGGCCGGTGGGAGGCTATTGGTAGCAGCAGGCGGTCTTGTAAGTACCCAGGTCCTAAGCCATGGAGCGCTCTGAAGATGGTAACCAGCACCTTGAATCGCACCCAGAAGACCACCGGAAACCAGTGCAGCTCGCGCAGGAGAGGTGTTATATGGCAGCGCCATGTCGCTCCCACAATCACCCGTGCGGCTGCATTCTGGACCAGCTGGAGCCTCTGGGTGCTCTTCAAGGGGAGCCCCATGTAGAGAGCATTACAGTAGTCCAGGCGGGAAGTGACGAGGGCATGAGTGACTGTGCGCAAGGAGTCCTGGTCCAGAAAGGGACATAATTAATATTTTCAATAGATTTTAAAGAGTGTAAAAATCAATCTTGCAAAATAAATGATCAAATTAAAGCATTTTTCCCTAACATAATGCTTTTAGGTCACATTCACAGAGTTATAGGGTATCTAAATTTTAAATATATATATAAAATATACATATATATACGTGTGTGTGTGTGTGTGTGTGTGTGTGTGTGTGTGTGTGTATCTATCTTTGGTTATTCGGGTTTTTTCCCGTGTAAAATTTGAAGTGTCTTGGCGACGTTTCGACAAAGTCTCATTCGTCATCTTCAGGCTGGTGTTTTCGACTTCGTGCTTCTAGGAGCAATGTGTGATCGCAGCTGTTTCTTTTAACTGCCAGTGGGGTGTGTGAACTGATTGGGTGGGAGCTTGGCTGTGTTCTGATTGGGTGGAGGTGTGTTCTGATTGGTTGGGGGTTTTGGCTGCACTCTGATTGGATGGGGGGTTTGCTGTGCTCTGATTGGCTAGGGGTGTGTTCTGTTTAGGTGGGGGCTTGGTTGTGCTCGTGTTAGTCAGAGTTGCAGGGGGATTTGAGCTGTTGAGCTGCATTGCTGTTGTTTGGCTTCGCGTTCGTGGTCGTGCCACATCTTCATGGTGGGTGTCAGTTTGCTTCATGTATGGATTAGAGGGGTTTAAAGTGGCTAATGATGCAGCTGTGGTCTGGCTTCTGGTTTGTGGTCATGCCTCATCGGTGTATATATATACTGTGTGTGTGTGTGTGTGTGTGTGTGTGTGTGTGTGTGTATAGTATGTATTTCATTCTTTAGTTTTCTTTTGAAAAATCTCTTAAACCCTTAAACTGAACTTTGATGAAGATTCAATATCATATTTTACCATACGATAAAATCAAATAATGAACTGAATATAGTGCTATATAATGCATACAAAAGTAGTAATTATGTAGGCAGCATGCATTTCAAACTTACTTAACTCCTAGCCCATTTTTTTCTGTGATCTTTTGTTGAAAAAATCAAGTATCAAGAGAAAACTTTTAAAAATTGCAGAACTAAAAGAGGAAAATACAAAAAGAATATTCCAAAGAATAAAGAATTTCTCAATACCCTTAAATGTCCATTTGGTAGTATTAAATAATTAATGTATTTAGTAATAAATATGGTCTGTGATCAACAACAATGCTGGTGGCATTCATTAAAATTAATTACTTCTCAGAAAAATATTAAAAATTTACACTGAGTTCTAAGATAATTTTGTAATTTACACTTTGCACCACAAATTTCACAAACAGAATTCTTAGTTATTTTTCTTGATCCTTCCAGCTTTCCACATAAGGTCACATACAGACAATCTTTTCCTAAAGCTGCTACTGGATTTCATTCAGAAATAATTTATGATACGTATTTTGCTTTAAAAAAAATCTTACTTCTACTTCATCCCATTTCAGATCCACAAGTTTTTGCCCCTCCTTGGGTTCCCATGTCGGTAGTGTCACTGTTGCTTGGGCTCGTGGCAGGATAATGTCCGGTTCCATGGTGGCTGCTCCTGGCCTATTTTCACTTGGCAACTCTGATTCTGTCCACCCAGACACTGGGGAACCATAAAATGAATATTCACAGTTTGTACCTTCATAGCCAGTATTACAAGCACAGAGATATCCATCCCCATTGCTAGTGCAGTTGCCATGGTGACAAGGGTTGCTGGCACATGGATCTGAAACAAACTGAAACACAAACAATAATGGGATTCTTAGTACCACAGAATAAGATGTGTCAGTCTTGTCACAAACATTAATCTGCTAAAATATCTAAGTGGCCTCCACCTGCTTTACTTAGAACTTCCTTTTCCAACCAAGCATCTTTCAAGTGTGCTGGACCACAATGGTCAAAATTCCTAGTTGATATAATAACTTTTAACAACGAAAGCTGTGAAAGAACATAGCTGGAAGGTAACCAGGTGAAGAAGCAGATTCATTATTCACATTTCAATAAAAAGATTATGCAGGAGACATAGAAGAAAATTAGTAAACAAAACTGATACTGTTGACAAAGTTGAATGGTTTAGAAATGTAATATTGGAACAGTTTCCAGAGGAATAATAATTAGCCTTTTGCAGCTTAACGGCTGTTAAACTAATCTAGCTTCCCAATTGACTTTGCTTGTCAATTATAGAGGGCAGTGCTGTTTCAAGTCCATTGAGCCAGCACTGTCCAAAGACATTTCTGCAGTCATGTAGCCAGCATGATGTCATGAACACTGCAACCTTCCCATCGAAGTGGTACCTATTTATCTACTCACATTTGCATACTTTCAAACTGCTAGGTTGGCAGGAGCTGGAACAAGGACAGGAGCTCACTATGTCACATGATGCTTAGATCTCAAACCTAGACTGCCGGTTCTCCAGCCCACAAGCCCAGTGTCTTAATCACTGAGCCACCGTGCTGTCCTGGATGAATAGTTGGAGAATAAGAATTCTGCAGATATCTCTAAAAATGAGCAGAAGGGGATATGCTCAATGGTTTCAAATTGTCTAAAATGGCAGTGACACAGATAATTTGGGAGAATCTTGCTGTTCCTTCATTTTAACAAAGCCAAAGAGAACCACAATGAAGGACTTTTGTACTTAGGGGAGTTTAGCTGTTTAAGATATAAAATAAATTATGTTATTCTATTCCTCAGATTTTCAGGGAAGCTAAGATAGGGAGTCTTGTCTAGATTGGCTTGGCACTCTTACCTATTGTATATTGTTTAAGATGTCATCTATCATACCAAGAAGCTAACAAATTGGGAAGACTACTATGTGGGTGTTTTTTTAAATAAATTGTCAAACCACTTAGATTGCCATTGTATACACTTTTATGAGAATACCTCACAAAGAACATCAGGTTGATTATCTTTGAATCCTGAGAGAGCAAAATTTGTGTTAGTTCTCTTATAGACTGTTCTTAAAAACCCAAAAAATATATTTCTGCTATTCTGTGTTATGATTTTAATGTTTTTAACAATTGAAAAATAATTATAATTGAAAGTTATACATGGAATGCATGAGAAAATAACTGTGTCTTGGTGTGCTGAAAATACACTGCTTATTCATTAGGGCCAACACATTTTACCAAGTTCTTCCCAGGGACATTTTGTCCTACATTACAAGTAGCACAATAATGACTGTTCTCAGTATATAGGACACAATGACATAAGGAAAAATTCTTGAAAAATGTTGAACTACTTATTACATACTTCATTTGATATTTCTGTTGGTTTTACATGTTCTAATGCATTTCCTTCTTTTCTCCCTATATATTCTCACCATTAAGAGCAGTACTGCAGACAAACTCTGTCCATAGCCAGGAGTCCGACCCTGAGGGGGCTCAAGATTGACTCAGCCTTCCATCTGTTCGAGGTCAGTAAAATCCTGACTGTTGGGGAAAATATCTTATATTGTAAATCCGTGATGGCGAACCTATGGCACGCATGCCACAGGTGGCACGCGGAGCCATAACTGTGGGCACATGAGTGTTATCCTAACTCAGCTCCAGCATGCATGCACGCACTGACCAGCTGATTTTCAGGCTTTCTGGTCGCACCGGAAGTCGTGAAATGGGCAGTTTCCGGCTTCCCCAGGTTCCTAGAAAGCCTCTGGAGCCTGGGGAGGGCAAAAAAGGGCCTACTGGCCCACTGTGCCCTCGCGTGCCAAAAGTGGGGGGAGCACGGCGGTACCACGAGCATGCGCTATCATCATTACAATTGTTCAGAGGACCAATGGGTTTTTTCTCCAACTGCCCAAACATACATTTATCAACCCAATATACAAATATTCTGGAGAACAGGAATAGAATTTCATTACAGTAGCATAGATGCATGGGATCAAACAAACTAGCTTATTGTTTATCCAGTTTTCTAGATGCTATCTATCAACTAAAGTTTTTAATAACTTTTAAGCCCTTCATGGCTTTGGGCCAATTGGATAAGAACAGTATTCTCCCAGTTGTTTCTACTTATCCAATTTGGACAGGCAGGTTGGGCATTGTGCAGATCCATCAATCAAGGAACGTCAGCTGGTAGAAACTAGGAGATGTTCCTTGCCTGCTGTAGCCTCTAAATGGTAAATAGGCATTCTCTTACTAATTCTTTGCCTATTTTGACTTGAATACCTCTTTTATCTTCCTTGGTGTTGCTTTTGTTAGGCTGGGCTTTTTCTTTCTTTTGTGTACAAACAGATGCAAAGAAGCAATTTCTTAAGAAGAAATCTGCTTCTTAAGCAGTCCTGTTTTCTCCGTACTGTCTGTCACCTTCTTGCCATCTTCTCCCATTAGTGGACCTATCATTTCATTGAGTTTCTTCTTGTTCCTTACATATTGAAATAAACAATTTTGTTATCATTATTGGCATCAGTTGCCAATCTTAGCTCATTATGGGCCTTAGCTTTCCCAACTCCTTTCTTGCAGATTCAGGCTATTTGCTGGTATTTTGTTTTAGTTGTGTGTCGTTTTCCATTTTTTTATATTTATCTGTCCCTCAAATTGTTGGAAAGTCCTTTGTGCAACCATGCTGGTCTCATCTGGTATCCTGTTTTTGTTTCTCTGTAGATCTGAAGGAGACAAGACAGAGGGGCATGGAGTGTACTGATTCATAGAGTGACCAAAGGACAGACACAATTGAATGGCTGACAATGATAACAATATTGTTTTGCTTGGGCCTTCATTACCTCATTATTCAAAGTTTCCCAAGCATCTTGAATTGTTTTTCCTTTTTGAATTTCCATCCATGGAATCCTTCATAATTTCTTTCTAAGTTTTTTGAAGTCAGCTCTTTTAAAGTCTAAAGCACTAGTCTGACTTGGTTCAGTTATCTGTGGTTCCATTATAGGGAGTTCAAGTATGACATGATCACTCTCCCCCACAGTTCCTGTAGTTAACCTACCTATTCATAATGTTTCCTCCCAAAAAAAAACCCCTGCCAAATTTCTCTTCTTTCAATTGCCTGTTATTGCATCTTTTTTAGCCACATGAAAAGCCCAAAATGCTATCACACTTTTATTTTTGGTGTTGATACTGTTTTAACACCATAAAGTGTTAAAATATTAGTCCTTGAGAACTCATTAATTTGCACACATGTGTGTTAAGAATAGTGAGGCACCATAGAAACCACTTACATGTATGATATAACTCTTGGTTCTTAGTTTCTGTTGGCACCAGGTAGCAACCAGGAGTCAATAGATTCTGTATACAGCAAGGTATAATGGCTAAAAAGGATTGTATTTATTTTATTGAATAAATTCTAAGAATGTTAACAGGGAGAAAAAAATCAGCCTTTGTCTTTTCAGCATGCAGGAACCCTAGGAATAACAGCAATTAGACCGATTACTGGCACTTGTGCAGCAATGCAAAGCTTGTCAAGTTTGACAATAGAATGACAAAAGCAACTTTGCACTGTTGTGGTTGGTCTTTTGGGGGACAATAATGCATCTCACCCATATGAAAAGGACAGGATGATGCTCCTTTCATCATTTTTACAACAGCTGCAAGATTCTATAGATGCCCATGGCTTTAATATATTTGGATTTAACTATAATCTTCAATAGTATCATTCCTAACATTTTAAATCTGGCAATGTCCTTTGGGTTTAAGCATTATAATAATTAAGAATTTGTTGGAGCAAAAATACCATAAGAGCTGAGATACAGAACTTTCAAACAAAAATTAATATAACATGTATTCTTATTTTTATCTTATTTGTATTTATCCCAGAATAATCCTGAGTTTCAGCTTGGACATTCTACTCCATAGAAATATTGGTACAAGACATTAACTGCAGAATATAGTTACAATTCCCAATGGTGGGAATCACATGCCACCCCAATTAGCATGAGATTTGCAGACAGATGCAAGCCAAGGTGACTTTAACAATGCAATTTGACATTTTTTTTCTCCCCACAACACAGTCAGAATGCAGAAGAACTGCCTATAGCAGTTTTCTATAACTACTCCCACCAGGTTCTTACAAAATTGCCTTTCTACTTAAAAGGGCAACCACTTCCATAATCATAATGGAAGAAGGGGTGATAATTTTTCCAACCCTCACTTGCTGGTTTCATTCTATTTTCCAACCTATTTAAGCACATACCGCAATGCTCAGGTCAGCTGTTGGGGATATGCAGGAGCTGCAGATGTAAAGTACAATAACATTCCTTCCATTCTATTTTTTTCCCTTGAAACTAAATTTAATACTTCTGAACCTGAACCTGAACCTGGAGACATTTTTTGGGACCCAAGAATAGGAAGAAATGCTCCTTTGAATATGATAATCCACCATCTGACTCAGTGGTGGGTTGCCCCTGGTTTGGACCGGTTAGCAAGAACTGGTAGTAAAACTGGCGGGAGGCTCTGCCCACGTCATCAGAAGTGATCTGTGCATGTATAGAAGCATGGGCATGATGCAAACCAGTAGTAAAGGTAAGTAGAACCCACCCCTGATCTGACTCAAGAATATTGAAGCAGGAGAAATATAAGCTCAGCCAATGAATAGACCAAGTCCTTTAAAAGGAGCAATTCTTCATAAAATCCTCCTTGCAAATAGAAAGAGAAGTGGGACACACCATTACTTTTTTGTTTGTTTTTATTAGCTTAAGTTTTTTATTTGAAGAAAAAAATAAAGAGACTAAAAATCGTATTATATTAACATGTTTTGTTTTGTTTTTATAAAAATGACATTGTTCAAAAATAAA